GAGTGAAAGGCAGACTAACATATTTCTCAGAACAATATTCATGCAACCACTAAAATTCCATGGACATGTGCGAGACATCAAAAAAAATCAAGATGGCAGCCACCACCTTGCGACCTTGATTTGCACTAAGCAATCCACCAACAGGATGGATGGTTGGCAAAATACCCAGTCCATATCATATACGCCAGGAGTCAGCAACCTACGGCTCTGGAGCCGCATGTGGCTCTTTCACCCCTCTGCTGCGGCTCCCTGTCACTCAAAATATGTGTCACAACTACCAATGTGTGACACCCGCCGGCATGTGATTTATTGAGCTTTTTGACCCCCGGTAGGCCAACCATGGATAAATCCAAGAAAAGAAAAGTTTCAGAAGAAAACAGAACGTTTAATTCAACTACATATGCTAGTTTTGTGGTCGCTCAGGAAATAGTCAGGCACGAGAAAGGTTTTGTGGCTCCTGGTGTTTTCTGTGGGAAACGGGTCCAAATGGCTCTTTGAGTGTTTAAAGGTGCAGACTCCTGCTATAAGCCCAGGACTCATGATTTCAGGTACCAGCAGATTCTTAAAATATGAACTATTTTGAAAATATAATTGGAAAAATGAGCAAAACTTCGAAGCATTCTTTAAATAATTGAGCCACTATAGGAAATTTACAAAGACAATCTATTGAAACTACTAAGATCCTTTGCCTCCTACCTGATTCCAGCACTAAACCCACAAAAAAATTAACCTACTGGATGGAAATCAGGGAAGATAAAGTCCAGCTCATCTCGAAAGCTCCAGATGGAAGTGGGGTCTCTAAGCAGCTTTTTTTCAACTTTAGCAATTTTAAGATGGGTGAACTACAACTCCCAGAATTCCCCAGCCAGCAACCTGCACATCTTTTAAGATGCTAACATTGAGAAACACGTACACACATACAGAGACAGACAAACAGACAAAGACAGAAAGACAGACATAGAGAGATACATTCACAAACTCTATTTGAATGAATCTTAACGTGGACGCTTCCAAACAAGGGAAACAGCATCCTAGCTAATTTCAAAAACTAAGCAGGATCAGAGATGACTCGCATTGGGATGAGAAACCAACAGGAATTCCTGCACATTTAAGCAACCACTATCCTATTCAGGGTTTTTTTTAAATAAAAAAAAATCAGATTTTTTTATTTAAATAAAAAAAAAATTGAATTAAATTGGATTTTTTTTTATTTTTATCAAATTTATTTTAATAAAATGCTTTTGGAGTAAAAAATCTATCTAAGGATAGTTTTCTATTTAAGATACATGAATGATTTAGTTAATTCAGCATGAAATGGGAGCTTAGTTATGTAGCCATGAGGCTCTACATCCATGATGGCGAACCTATGGCACGCGTGCCACAGGTGGCACACGGAGCCATATCCGTGGGCACGCGAGTGTTGCCCTAACTCAGTTCCAGCCTGCTTGCGTGCACCGGCCAGCTGATTTCCAGGCCTTCCGGTCCCACTGGAAGTTGGGAAATGGGCCGTTGCCAGTCTCCGGCTGGGTGGGGAAGGCTGTTTTTGCCCTCCCCAGGCTCCAAGAAAGCCTCTGGAGCCTGGGGAGGGCAAAAAACGGGCCTACCTGGCCCACCGTGTCATCACGTGCCAAAAGCGGGGAAAGCACAGGGGGGTCATGCACACATGCACGGGGGGGCGCGTTGAATTGTGGGTGTGGGCACGCACACGCGCAATCCCCCCGCTCTCCCCCTGCTTTTGGCACGCAACAGCAAAAAGGTTAGCCATCACTGCTCTATATTCTGCAATATTGGGACTGTCGGTGAGTCAACAGTGGGTCAGAGAAGGAGCTGCTGAAGGACAGAGATGACAGTTGCTCTTTAAAAATTATGATTTAAATCGAGTTGATTTAAATCAAGCCTTTTTACTAGTGATTTCAATCGTGATTTAAATCAAATCCACCCTGACCCTGTTGTTGTCCAAAGAACAATATGGAGCACAGCCTGGGTCAAGCTTGAGACTTGTCCTACTCCTTTCCCCTTTCCCTACTTTATTTTTCCTTCTATTTGCTTCCGTATTTTTGCATTTTATATTTTAAACTAATAAAAACTGTACATTTTGGGAATCATGACGTGGAAAAAGTTAAGTTTGCAACTAAGCATCGCATTTATAACTTTCGTAGGTCTGCAAAGCAAAGGAAAGCTGAAGGGGGATCGTAAGCACAGCGGCCGTTTCGCTTTGCAACCACTTCGCTTAACAACCAAGTTACAAAGTCCCAATTACGGTATTAATGACTGAGAAATATTCTTGCTCATCTGTGGGTGCTGCTGCCATCTAGAGGTCAAACTCGGAAATGTTAAGTGTGTATCAGGCCTTGGCAAGAGAACATCAGCAGAGGGGAAAAAACAGGCTAGAAATGCTGGATCTCAAATGCAAAGGCTGCATGTTTTTAGACACTATGCAAATATTTTAGGCAGGCTGGCCCCTTCCCTGGAGGCTTTGAAAAAGTTACTAAAAAGGGAGGTTTCCCCCAAAAAACATTGTCTATAACCGTGATGGCGAACCTGTGGCACGTGGAGCCATATTGGTAAGCATGTGTGCGGCTGGCCAGCTGATTTTCAGGCCTTCTGGGCCCACCAGAAGTCGGGAAACAGGCTGTTTCTGGCCTCCAGAGGGCTTCCAGGGAGGTGGGGAAGGCCGTTTTTGCCCTCCCCAGGCTCCTAGAAAGGTTCTGGATCCTGGGGAGGACAAAAAACGGGCCTACCGGGCCCACCATGCCATCACGTGCCAAAAGTGGGGGGAGTTCGGGGGGATGGGGCACATTGAATTATGGGTGTGGCCACACACGCGCAGGGCCCCCTGCGCTCCTCCCGCTTTCGGATTTTACACTATCCTTCCCCTGGAATGGGGTGGGAATGGAGATTTTACAGTATCCTTCCCCTGGAATGGGGTGGGAATGGAGTGCATTGTAAGTCGCCCTGAGTCTTCGGAGGAGGGCGGCATATAAATTGAACTAATAAGTAAATAAATTTTACAGTATCCTTCCCCTGCCACGCCCACCAAGCCACACCCACAGAACCGGTAGTAAAAAAAAATCTGAAACCCACCACTGTTTAAGATGCGTGGACTTCAACTCCCAGAATTCCCCAGTTGGCCAGCTGGGGAATTCTGGGGGGGTTGAAGTCCACATATCTTAAAAGTTGCTAGGGCTAAGAATCCGCATACTTTCAATGTTGGGACCAATGGTATACTTGGCTAAATAACAGAATAAAAAGAGGATAAGGTTGCGTAACTCTTACTATTTATTTATTTATTTATTTATTTATTTATTTATTTATTTATTTATTTATTTATTTATTTATTTATTTATTATATTTCTATACCACCTTTCTCCCGTAGGACTCAAGGCGGTGTACAGTCAAGAAAAATATAGATACACAAACATCATAAAATTGCTAATTAAAATTATTATTATAACATAGTTTGGCCCAATTAAATAGAACCTAAAATTAGATAACATTTTAAAAACATTCACATGTTCATATGTTTAGCCCCGCTTGTTGGAACATCAGGGTTTTGAGGGCACGGCGGAAAGCAGGGATATTCCGTATCTCAGGGGGCAGTTCATTCGAAAGGGTTGGAGCCCTCACAGAGAAGGCCCTCCCCCTGGGAGTCGCCAGTCGGCATAATTTGACTGACGGTACCTTGAGTAGTCCCTCCCTGTGAGAAAAAGACGGTCTCGTAGCTACCCAGGTCCTAAGACATGGAGCGCTTTAAAGGTGATAACTAACACCTTGAATCGCACCCGGAAGAGCCAGTGCAGCTCGCGTAGGAGAGGTATTACATGGGCGCAACGAGCTGCAGATAATTCTCTGATTGAAGATAATGTATTGTGTAAAGTTCTCACTGCGATCTATATGTTGTTATATACTTTGTTTGCAAAGAAATAAATAAAATTTAAAAATTTTTTTTTGCTAAGGCTGGGAAACCAAGAGCCTTGGTAGTACAGTGGTTTAATGCACCCTGTTATTAACACAGCTGCCTGCAATTTCTGCAGGTTCGAATCTTACCAGGCTCAAGGTTGACTCAGCCTTCCATCCTTTCTAAGGTAGGTAAAATGAGGACCCAGATTGTGGGGGCAATAAGATGACTTTGTATAAAAATATACAAAAGTATGAAGGCTATTGCTTAACGCATTGTAAGCCGCCCTGAGTCTCCGGAGAAGGGCGGCATATAAATCAAATTAAAAAAAACAAAAAAAACACTGGTCTAAAATATACCCCAAAAAAGAGGAGCCTCTCTGGGAAGGCAAGACAAAGGAGCAATGGAGGGAAGCTAATCAAGAAGAAAAGCCACAAAAAAAAAAAAACCAAAAAAACCCCCACTGTTTGCAATTGAAGATGGTTTCATGTATGTTTGTTTAAACATAAAAAAAATCTTTTCCAAAAAAAAAGAAAAGAAGAAAAGCCAGCTAGAACTAAGGAAGAAATTTCCTAACAGTGAGAACAGTTATTCAATATTTTTGTGTATTCAGAAGATATATTCAATGATTGATTATGTATTGTTTGTTGGTTTGTTTACAATATTAAGATATGATAAATATTGGAGGAGCAAAAAGAAGATTTAAAAGACGTATTCAGAAGATATATTGAATGATTGATTATGTATTGTTTGTTTGTTTGTTTATAAAAAAAAAAAAATGGTTTTTTTTAAAAAAATATATATATTTTTAAAACCACTTTGCTTGGAGTTGTATGAAATTATTGCAGCCACCGCCCCCTCCCTCCCCACTCCCAAGAGGGCAATGCCCAGCTTCATTTATTTCAAGGCTGCTGCGCTTTCCTCCTCCAGAGGAAATCTCGCTTCCCTGGGGAAGCTGGCATGATAACCCACCTGCTTTCCGGCTGCAGGAGGCAACCGAGTCCCGCTGCTTTGCTGGAAGCCTGCCCGGATTCAGGCTGCCCTGCATTTCCTTAAAGGGAACCCACCCACCTCCCCTTCGCTGCCTTCCACGGGAACGTACCTGGTTGCTTAGGTTCACACGTGCAACAACCGCGTAACGAGCGAGCTCCCGGGCGGGGGGGGGGGGGGGAGAAGGAGGAGGGGGGGAGGGGCTCCCGAGCAGCGTCTTCCTGTTTCCTAGCCACGCCCACGGCGATGACGTTGCATGTTCGGCTGTACTGCCCCGCCCCTTCTTAAAGGAGCAATAGAACTCTTTAAGGCAGGGGTCTCCGACCTTGGCAACTTTTAAGACTTGTGGACTTCAACTCCCAGAATTCCTCAGCCAGCAAAGCTTAAAAGTCTTAAAAGTTGCCAAGGTTGGAGACCTCTGCTGTGCTGGGGGGGGGGGGTCAGTTGCGCAGTGAGTTGCTCCTTCGCACACACACACACACACACACACACACACACACACACAAAGAGAGAGAGAGAGATGATGATGATGATCCCCAATTAAAATTGCTGGAAGGAAATCCCCTGCAGGTCAATTTTGGTTGCTCCATAAATTCAGGGGATAAGGCAAGACTCCTCTACCTGCCTACCCACTTCAGCCAAGGGCCACTTGTACACCTGCTCACACACACACACACACACACACACACACACACACACACACACAGAAGCATCGAGTGAGAGGAGCAGGGCTGAACCTCCAGAGGTTTCCTCGGATGGGAGACCAACAGGTAATCCCAGGAAGGAAGTGGGGAGCACTGGAAACTTGGAAAAGAATTGATGAAGTGGGCTGTGGGAAGTTAGATCCACTGTGCTGGCAAGAAGATTTGTAGGGTTGTGTCAGAGTGTGAGAAAAGGACATTTTTATTGTGTGCTTGTGTTTGGGCATGCACCAGAGGTGGGTTTCAGCAGGTTCTGACCAGTTCTGGAGAACCAGTAGCAGAAATTTTGAGTAGTTCGGAGAACCGGTAAATACCACCTCTGATTGGCCCCGCCGCCATCTAGTCCCTGCCTCCGGAGTCCCAGGTGATCAGGAGGGAATGGGGATTTTGCAGTAACCTTCTCCTACCACGCCCACCAAGCCACACCCACCAAGCCATGCCACGCCCACCAAGCCACGCCCACAGAACCGGTAGTAAAAAAATTTGAATCCCACCACTGGTGCGCGCGTGCCCGCGCACACACAAGCACACATATGGTCATAAGTGTGAAAACCGTCATAAGTCATTTTTTCCAGTGCCGTTGTAACTTCAAATGGTTGCTAAATGAAAAGGGTACTTGCACACTGATTATTTATTATCCAACCTGAGGGCACTAATAATGGATGCCGACACTTATTGTGCCAATTCCTAAGGCCGAACATGGGATAGCAGCTTTGAAAAGGAGGAAAACAAACAATAAAAAGGACTTAAAATATTCTTTAATCTTGAAGGTGACCATTCTTTGGCAATTAAGGTGCTCTAATGTTTATGAAATTCCTTCTCAAACTTTTTTTAAAAAACGATCAACGTTTCTTGCATTAATTTGACTTTTAAGTTTTGGTTCTTCCTTTCCAAAAAAGATGCTTGAGATAACAGTTCAGGCCACTTGGCTTTCGTCGAAAATGTCAACGAATGCTGCAGTTTGAAAAATTAAGGAATAAGAAAGGAGCTCTCTGAAATAAATACAGAAGTTTTTAAATAGTTACATAAAAACCTTGGTCCTGAACATTTTTGTTTCTCCATAATCAAGATGATAAAGGCCGGCAGGCATGAAAATGGAAGAAATCAGAGTAAGGTGTATTCATATTTTTCATCCCAATTGGCTGTATGTACATTTGCCAATAATCAAAGAATAATTATTCCAGAAAATTGTGCTGTGAATAAGCAAAGGGAGACTAGGCTGAGGCGATGCTTGGAAAAAAGGATTCTAAAAATTCGAGTCATGATTTAAGCAACTCATTCGTCCTCACTTCTTTTTCCTTTTTTTTTTTTTTTTTGAAACCAGCACTCAAATGACAAGATACACCATTTTCTTCCCATTTATTTTCCGGGCTTTGAGTCCAAGGTGATGCATGTTTTTCCGCTCAGGAAGCCCAAAAAGGACTCGATTAAAAAGTTCCGTATCTGTCGTTGATACCTGCCTGAAGGTGATAAAAGCCCATATTCGGCGGAATTTATGGAAGAGAAAATTAACCACCTCGGCTTCGTCGGAAGGCTCTTCGTAAACCGGCTGCTTCATGTCCTCGTAGGCCGACATAATCACTGCTTGGAATAAATTGATCAGAACGCAAATCATCACCATCATGAAGGAAGCCAAGAAGAGCCCGCCCAGAGCACGATTGGATCTGAAAGCCGTGTCTTTAAAAGCTGAAACACAGTAGGAGAAGACGGTCTGTGCCGAATGGGTCATCATGTTGTAGTTCCATTCGTACTGGCCAAAGACGAGGTAACCAAAGGCCATGTAGACGAAGAAGTAGACTGCCACCACTAAGGCCATGGAGCAGATACCCGGCAGGGCAGCCAGAATGGACCTCTGGGCCAGGCGCACGTCATAAAAGAAACGAGAGTACCTGAGGGTTTTCAGGACGATCAGAAAGGCCAAAAACCCTAGAGTGATCCTTAAAGTTTTATCGACGAAAGAAACTTTGTGGAAAGGGATGTATTGGTTCGGTTGATGGAGATAGAGATCGATAAGGCTAGAAGCCAGTTTGAACTTGAATGCAAGTTGCAGAAGGAAAAAACAACACACTGCCTTTATGCCAAAGTTAATTAAATTGGAAACGTTTTTTAGGTAGTTGAGTCTCTGTTGTTCTACTACGCAAAACTCGTCAATGATGTAAAAAACAAGTATGTAGCCCACCAGGATGAAAACGAACTTTTCCCTTCGGTCCAGCTGCTTGAAAATGGGGAGTTTATAGGAGTGGATCCACAAAGTTGTGTTAATGGGGCCTAAATGAGAAACTTCGAAGATCACCGATATGCTGCAAAATAAGTCCGTATCGAAGTTAAAAGTTGTCATCTCAACTATCAGTGCCCAAGTATTTTCATCAAGCCAGCTGTTTTCTTCCAATGACACCATTCTTTTCATTGATTCGGAGAGCGTCTCCTTGGGATAAAAGTTGAACGTATACCCTCCTGCTTCGTACACATTTCGCTCTCCATACGAATTGTACCTCCAGGGATCTCTAACTCTGTGGTAGGTGAAGCCTGTGAAATTGCCCAAATGATTCACCACAGATTCATTAACTGGGTTCTTCCAGGACCCGAAATAGTTCCTATGATCCTCTTCGTCGACACCATATTTGTGAAGGCAGTGGCTTTTACTAATCACAAATTTATTTACAAAACTGTGCGGATAGAAGCATTCTTTTTCACTACGCTCCGCTCTTATCTGCCGCATTTTGGGTAAACCCAGGATTTTGGACCAGGTGTCTGGGAGAAAGTTTGGCTTCAGCGGGTTATGAATCAATTCCAGAAAGACCTCTTTTAACCAGAGGTAAATCTCCTTTATTTTGCTGACTTCAAAAAGCCCCTTAGACAATTTTGACTTCATGTCTTGATTGTAGTAAAAACTCCTGGTGTTTTCCATGGAGTAGGCAATGTTCAAAATTAGGATTAAAAAGACAAAGTGGCACAGGACGTCCTTCAGGAAGACGAAGGCTTGATGTCGGATCTTCTCCTTTTTCTTAAAAATTGTGATCTCATCCTCTTCCAAGGGCTGGTACTTCTTGCTGCCTCTCATTCTTACCAGATCGTAATGCAGTTCTCGCATGTCGTCAGCATTCATGCTTGGTTCATTCAGTTTAATCTCCAGGAAAGTTTCTTTGATCGACCATGGAATGTTTTCACAGGAATTGGAATGAAGCGATTTTAGGGCTGAAAAAAAAAGGATGTTCAACGTTTGAAGGAAGAACATGCTGACAAGGAGCGAGATGGCGGAGGCCGCCAGCCATTCTAAAGAGGTCTTGTAGTCCTGGGATGTGCCATATAATATGATAGAAAAAGAGGACGTGGCAGAAATAACCAAGACCAGTACCCATGAAGCATACTTGTTCCACCAAGATACGATCTGGGGCCTTTTGAAGAAAAGCATGCTGGGAGTATTGAGTGGCCTCGTTTGGTGCTCTGCTTCCTTCTTCACGTAATTATTGTTAAAATTGATGTTGGCATGGCCAACTTCCGAAGCCTCTTCCTCTGTTGAAATTATATTGGCATCCCCCTCTGGAATCGTGCAGTTGTATCGGGTTTTTGTTCTCTGCCGCCACCTAATATTTTTCTGTCCTGCCAGGTTTTGGGGATTGGAGGCAGCGGCAAAGCTGCCGTCTGGAAAACCGGACCCTGGGAATTTCGAAGTAGTCTCTAGAAGGTAACATTTCTGCAGGAGTTCTTTCCAGTTCCTCAGATTTCCGGTCGTTAAATGAGAACACACTTTTTGCTGAGTTGCAGTGAACTGCTGGCCAGAGGGCTCTTTCTGCGAATATTTGAACAGAGCTGTTATAATCATTTGCAAAGGGACCGAAATTAAAGCGCTCTGAATGCCAATTATGAGAAGCCTCAGATTCTGCAGTTGTCCCGGATACATCTGCTGATCCACGTCGGCCTTGAAGAACATCATGTTGATTAGCAGGATGCAGAAGAGAGTGGCTAAGCAGCAAGACAGCCTTTGAAGTCTGTTGAAAGAACCAGTGCACACGTGGGCAAAAAGGGAAAACCATAAGTGATTGTCCGCAAAGTCCTTGGCAAAGCAGATGAGGAAAAAATCCATTTTGTTTAAAGGGGCCAGTGGCTGGACCACAACAAACACCCTCTCAATCAGACCATTGTCTTTATCCAGAGCAAGCCATTTTCGGCATATAAACATCCAAGACTGCTTGGTGTACATATTTTCCACCTTGACTCTACTTAGGTACCAATTCGGGGAAGAGCCGGCATTATCATGCCAAGCTTGAAGGCAATAGATGTCTCCCAGGTCATTCTTAGAAGTCAGGAGAAAGGTATTGATGGACCCACGGAGGAAAGGCACATGTCCAGGGTGGCTCAAGCGGTGGACGTCGCTGACTGCTTGGTCCCCTATCAATTGGATGAAAACGGTAGCTGTTGTTCCTGCCCTAAATCGGCTGCCTGTGTAGACGGTGACCAAGTAGCAAACTTTATCAAAGGGATCATTGTCAGGCAAGA